GATTTTGGTTCTATGGGTCAAGAAATTTTTATAAAACCAGAGTAAAGATATTCACATAAATACATATGTAGTGTGTACAAATGAAATATTTTTATAATTTTTGCTGAAAAGTAAAGAATTTTATAATTCATTTGATAACTGCAGCATAGGGAATATTCTTTAGCATTCTACATTTATTAATCAGAGAATAAGCTTAATTTTTGGTAAAAAATACAATCAAAACTTCAGACCTATTTTATCGGTATATGATCAATTCAAAACATTATTATAGATTATCCACAATATGGTAAAACGATTATAGATCTTTCATTTGAAAATAGCCAGTAGCTCTGTAAGTGAATTAATATTTCTACAAATGTTATTTGTCAATTTAATACTTTAATCTTGGCCATGTAATATCATAGTTGCTTCACATTTTTCTTAATTTAAAATGAACATATATAGGTTTTTAAGTACAAATTATTATTATATTTAATATTTTAATCTCTGGCATATCTTAGTTGCTTTACGACAGTAATAAATTCTAAATAACTTTTTATATCTAAAACTATGATTTTTTTCCAGTTTTCTACTTTTTTCTCCATGATTACATATTTAGTTCAGAACTACTACTGTATATGCGTTGACACCCTCTAAAATGATTTATCTAAATTAGAATAGCCGTTTAGGATCAGTTTAGTGACAACACACGTACAGTAAATTTATAATTATAAATACGTATATTTATATATTTATACAGTTATATAAAAGTACTCTTGTATAGTTTTAATTAAAAACGAACTAAAATAAAGCCACATTACCGTTGCGAAAACTACAATGTGATTGTCATTCTGCTTCATAACAATCCAAGCGCCGCTATTTTAACAGTAGCAAAGTTATTTAAGTAGAATGTAGTTTTCACAAACGATATTACGATCAGTAATTACATTGTTCCAAGTGCTAAGAAGCCTGTAAATGAACTAACTAATCCATTCTTTGTTAAACTAGCACAATATTCTCTTTTGTTTAAATTACAAACATAAACTTACTGTAATTTCCGCTAGAAGTGGATTGTGGAACAATAAACGAAATGAGCAAGTAACGACAATGAAGGAATAACAAAATATTTGAATATTTTTTTTATATTCTATATTTTTGAACAAGACATGCTATTATTGAGAAATTTGCGAAAGGTTGCGTTTCAAAATATTGATCATCTAAAAATAAAATATGATATATTTACAACTTTTGCCTACTCTATCAACAATCATAGTAAAAACAAAGTAAATTAAACACATGCCGGATTTTCTAAAAAATGAGATGTAATTAATACCTAAATCAAGGATTTATATATACGTACTCAACTAACCGAATACTTAATAAAATTAATAAGTATTAAATAAATTTAATCCATACAGGTAATAAATAATGGTCCCAAGGAGTACTTCCTTGTTACGCACATAATTTTTTACATAAAATGAATTTTGTAAGAAACAAAAGGTTGAAATGTTGATTTCATTATCATTACAATAATTAAAATACAATTGCCCTTGATAATCCAAAATTCCAAAACTGGATAAGTATTTCCCTATTTTTTTATTCATATTACTGATTACAGTTTAATTTCACTTTTAATTATGTTGTTAATTGCTGTTGTTATAATTATGTTGAAAATAACTAACAAGTTTCATTTCAATAAATTAATCAGTAGTGAACTTATTAGATACATATATGTAGATCATACTCATGATATGGATCATACTATCTGAAAGGATCGCTCATCTATATCAATTTTTTTCGTCTCCCAATCACTTGCAAAATGAAAGTTTCGATTTGTAAAAAATCCATCCAGAATGACTGACAATAAATGCCGAAGAATTTTATATTGAATAACACAGTGTCTATATACTGGGAACATAATTACAATTTTGATTAGAAATATGTGGAACTAATATAAACGTAGAAAGCTGAATAAAACGTATCCTCATTCATCTCGAACGGCGTGAATAGCGAAACTTTCGATTGGAATAGAAATTATGGTTCAATAAGCGATTTGAATTTGGCTCATTAAATTTAATATACAATGTAAAAGCATAAAGTTTTTTTGTTAGTACGATATATTGTCAATAAATATTTACTGGTTGTGTAATATTAATTTTCAAAAGGATTGAATTTACTTGTGATTGATAATACAAACTGAAAGCGAAAGTTCTATTGTTAATTAATATGAAAGGTTAGAGTCCGATGATATATTTTGCTATTGATTTTAAAATATCTTATAATAATTAAATGATTTATAAATATTTACAAATTTTTAAATATTAGCACATAAACTTGACAAATATTACTGTAACTTCTCGAAAATAAAAATTTTTGAATTTGATTCTTATTGATTGAGTAAATAATTTGTTACATTTTTGCGATTCGGAGATATGCAGCAAAAAGGGCAGTTTTAGAAAACGGCGTATCCGATTAGAGTGATTCAAAAAGCACATCGCTTGTGTCGTTTATTATGTTTTCGTTCTTGTAGAGCGCACTTATATTGTGTTAGATCTATAAAATAGGACAATCAAATTTACAGTATTTATAACAATCATTTTAAAATATTTAAAACAAATTGTTCTTGCTCATTGATAACTTTTTATTGAAAATTGGGAATGTTTATCTCAGAAGTTCCAGGAATTTGTTTAGGACACATTGCTATGGTCCATTAGTTGTAGTAATAATGCAAGTAATACATATTTTAGTAAAACAATGAGAAAGATTTTTTTGTAAAAAATTATGTCAGTAGTGAATAAAATAACTTTTGTTAAGTATACTCAGAAAAGAAAGAAAAATGACTGAAATAGTTATGTAAAGGTAATTTTACTTCGATTATTTTTTTTAGCAGTATTGGTTTGTTCAAACGAAACAAAATTTAGAGTCTTTTTATTACTAGTAAAATAACTGAAACATGCAATAAAATGCAATGAAACAGACTATAATATTGTTTTTTTTACAGATAATCTTAAATCTAACAAAAATGTGACATTTAAATTAAATCATTTTCAGTTCTCAATCTACATCAAAATGTTTCATGGAAAAGAAAAAAATAAGTAACATAAAATAATTATTCACAATATTGAATAAAGAATAGAAAACGAATCGAAATCACATAAAATTATTACAATTAACAATTCTGCATAAAAAAATGGGTATGATTGATTCCTCGATAAGGTTAATATCATTGACCACTCATGGGGAAGTAGAAAATTTTTTTGAACAATTATTTTATCTAATGGATTGAATCCTGATTTTGTTCGAAAACCTATGAGCAGTTATGGATGTATTTTTCGAGTATTTCATTAATATTTACAAATTTGCGCGCAGTAAAGCAAGCAAAAAGCTTTGCCTACCTTTTTCTCAAATACCGTAAATTGTATATTTCATTATACATTATGTGTGTTGCCGTGTAAAAGCTCCAAAGAAATTATACAGCTTTTTTGTTCTTATTTTATAATGGGCTAAGATAAGAAAACGAGCCATGAACAGCTCGTACATATTCTAGCTTTTGTTCAATATAATATACACCGTGTGCAATAAATTTTGATATGCACAATTACTGTTCACGAAACAACATCGCAAATTATTCATTTTAAATACTGATACAGGAAAAAATGTAGTAATGAAGACATTAAAACGATATAAACGATAAACCAGTCTACGTTATAAAGGAAAGGAAAGATTTTATCGCTTCGTGAAAAGTAGCTAATGTTACACTTTTTTCGTGATATATTACAAAGTACACAATTTTGCTTGAAGTGCTAAGTGCTCGTTCTAAATTTAATCAAATTTATTATAATTGTAAATGAATCCAGGATTTTTAATTATTCATAAAAAAGCAAGTAAGTCGGAGTTTGAACGTATTGTTTTCAAGGCATAATTTTACAAAATATATCCATAAAATTTACTCTAATTAAAAAACATTACAATATTTATGTAGTTATTTTTTATATGATAGCTAATGAAAATATATAATCTATGATGGAATCGATATATATATAAATATATATATATATATATATATATATATATTTATAAAGTCCAGTATCATCAGTACATATGTGTTCGCAAATATAAAGCCACAATCTAGCCGGTTTGTGTAAAAATGAATCCGACAAACCAATATTGGGTTAGCATACAAATCGCCCAAGATCAACACAAAAATAGGAAAAGAAAATGAGAAGTAATATATTTTGGAATATAAAAGATTTAGCTAGATAAAAATATATAACCGTTGTTTATAAAATAAAGTAATTTAAAATAATTCATCTATTTTAATCCGTTTTATTGAGAGTACTGCCCATTTGTTTATAATTTTCTTAATTTTATTTAATTTGTGGAATGAAGGTAAAAAATAACTACAGAAGAGAAAGTCAAATTACTCTTTATGCCATGATATTTTATTATATTACTTTTGTAACTGAAATTAATTATAAGTAATGTAAGTATTATTATTATTAAAGGAATCGAAAATAGTCGCATTGTGGATTATTGAATAGAGACATTTTCATTTTTATAACATTATTAGTATTCAGACAAATTCAGAATAAATTGAGAATGCGAATGCTTAACAAAAGGAAGTAAAGACAAGGTTTTGATTTTATTATATAAATGTTTTCTGAATATCAATAATATCTGATATAAGCAATTGTAGATTAATAATTCATAGAAACCTTTAAAATAAATTTAAACAGTAATAGTTTATTTTATTGAGAAATGCTTAGAAGAGCGTATAACGTCGATTATTAGAAATTGTATCCTTAGGAATAAGGATGTTTTAACTATTCAAATATTTGTACATATCTATTCATAATTTACATCATAGTAGTAACATATTCATATTCATACACTGTCAGTAACTGTCGGTAAGGTAATGCATAAATTAACAATAATAAATGAATTATTTTCCATGCATATGTCTGTTTCATCATCTACTGAATGGTTTAAATTACTATTCAATTCAAAAAATAAAAACTTACCGAAAATCCATGTCTTCTACATTGATTGAATTTATGTCTACTACATAAATGCTAAAGTCGACAATTACTGGATGTCCTTTCCGAGAAGGTGGTCGAACTTCTGCAAGAACAAACAATTTATAAATTATAAGATACTTTTAATTGTAATGAGATCTAAGTACTAAATACTGTTACTGGGCAATTTTGAATCAAACATAATTAAAAAATATTAATTTCAATGTGAGATACCACATAATATAATGAAATATTCAATTTAATTAAAAATATTTCCATGTTATATTCCACACTTACTATAGTTGGAAAACTGCAATTGTTTTAGATAATTCAATGTAATTTTAATTATATATAATTGTATTAAATTAAATTCGAAAATAAGATTCAAGAATAAGTCTAATTTGTTCACCTTTAACATAGTGTTCAGGTAGAACAACTCTTGGTTTGATGCTGTAATTCTTTTTGCAACCAACTTTGTTGCAAACACTGTGAAAAGAAAAAAAAACATGTTAATAAGGTAGAGACAGTTTGGAAATGAAAAAATATTTTTGATAAATATCTTTAAAATGTAATAAAATAAGTTTCATACTAAAAGTTTAGCTAAAGAAATGTCACAATTAATTAAATTATAATATAGCATAAACAAGACGAGCCTGAATAAAATATTCAAGAATATATTCATAGTATATAAAATAAAAAATGTTAAAATCATTGTATAAACATTTTGCTAATATATTAATAATGCGATTGTTTTGTGAAGAAGTCTTGCATATATTTATGATTGAGAATCAAGACAACAAACTTTTTTAAAACTTCCGTGATTTTAATTATGGCTGTAAATAGTTTATATAAAGCAGATGATATTACTATAATATTGGAAAGAATGCATATCGAGTGAAAAAGTTGCGTGCGAATTGATAAAAAATTTAAATTATGATTGTGAATTTTTGTTTAAAGTCGAATATATTATAATATTGGAAAGAAAGTCTTATTTAATCAAGTCAAAATAGTCTGATAAATTTCTAGAAGGAATCATTGATTTCAATATTTTTGCTTATTTATGAGAATGAAGATAAAATTGCAATGCTATACCTATGGTTGCGTATATTTTTTTAAATTCATTTGTAAGTTTAATAAAATAAAAGCAATATCTATTTTGTATCAGATATAGGTAAGACGACCATACGTCCCGATTTTACTGAAAGCAATATTTGTCCCGGATTCAGATGTTCTGTCCCAAATTGTCCAGGGTTTCAAAAAAGTAGTATATGTATAAATTGAATATTTGCAATTCTTGATAATAAAATTACAACAATCCATAAAATATTTGCTTTATACAACGAGTATCCTTATATGAAATGAGAAAATTGCCGAATGCAAAAAGCCGATTAGAACATTGATAATTTTGTACTTTCATTTTCAATTTTACGAAAATGACTAAACATTATCAAAACTAACTTTCTGACGATATAGGCCTATCAGATAAACATAATAATTTTCTATTCTGAATATTTTTAATAAAACGCACAAATAATTTTTCATCATTTGAAGAGTAACTTTAAGCTATTTGAAGAAAGATTTTATGCCTGATATGAAAATCGCACGATTCATCTTAGCATGTCAACATAAATTATTTTATATGACTATAACATATGTGATTAAGGTACATAATTGATTACATATTTAGCTCGAAACATGAAGATAAAGTACGATTTTGAAAATGAATTTATACAAAGACTATAAACTGCAAATTTCCATTTTGCATTCTCGGTTTAGCAAATTGTGACTTACGTTGTTAGTAATGAATAAATAGGAAGATCTTTCGGTTTGCAATAAGCCATTTGCATACTAAAGAAGTAATTTGCTATGCGCATTCGAGTGCGAACAATAAAAGAAGTCTTCTCGAGGCGCTGGATGCTGCAAGTAATATAATGAGGATATGCGTCGAGACAGCGCGAGGTAAAACTGCCTACTGCAAAGGCAAATAAAACAAATAATTTATTGATATTGACGGCTTTATACCAAGCGCAAAGTGGTAATAAAATGGATTTTATTATTCAATAAATGTTTAAATCAAAATATAAATGAGATAAATGGCTTGTTTTACATGTATGATGATTAATTTGAAAGGCTTGCGTATAAAATGATTTTGTGATCATATTGAATTGTGAAGTGCATAGGAGCTACGTTTTCTAAAAAGATTAGACAATTTATCATAGTAAGTAACAAATGTAGTCAAGTGAAAACTTGTACAATTTTACAAAAATGTTTTATATACATCTTTTACGTAAGATTGTGTTTGCTCTTCATTTTACTTGAACAACAATGATAAACTGAAATTATTTATTCGTCAGAAGTAAATCACTGCAATATAAAACTAAACTATTATCTTTAAAAATTATCTATTGAGTTTTTTTTTCATATGTCATTATCAAATATAATTCCGTTCATAAAAAATCGGCTAACATACACACACAAACATACACATACTTTTTCCAAATTTGGTCTCATTCGATTCAGAATAGCTTGAAAAGTCGAGAAAAAATAAAACTAATGAATCGGATTTTTTATGAAAATAAACTTCTTCGGAAGTTAATATTTGATATTCTACAATAATCTAAACACTAATTTTGTTTAGAATTTTCTTTTATTTTTTCACTTCCAACATCAATCAAAACTTATACGTTAGTAGTTCTACGAGCTATTAATTAATAATTATTAATGAACTTTTTCGTATTTTAGAATGCCCATCGGTTGGCTTTTTATATTTGATATGTTTGTATTATTAGAATTTAGTTAATTTATAATAATATATTAGAATTTAGTTATTTTTAATAATAATAATTTGTTTTGAGGCAGCAATGCCAGGAAAAAGCTTTTCACACTTGTAGACATATTTTCATCTAAGTATTCAAGTAAAATTCGATATCACTACTGCTTGGTATCAGACTGTTCGATACGTTCTAGTTGCAAGGCAGAAGCTCTTACCACTTAGCTATGAAAAATCTCTTCTTTATGAATATATTTCATGTGTTAAGTTTTATACGATCATTTCTTCCGATCTGATTTAATGCAAACTCTTAATTAGCACGTGATAATATCGAGCAATAAAAATGCATTAAGCCACTTAAAGAAGTGCGTCATTCGCATTTCGTTAAGTAAAATCAAAAACCTAAATCTATAAAATATACAATGAATCTTAATAGTTTTAATTAATAGAAACATACCTAAATAATTTTGAAGTTTTCTTGACAAGCAGATTAAAAACTTATACATTAATTTAAAGACCAAAGTAAGTGATAATTTGAAAGTGTACTCTGTAAAAACGGTACTATAAATCAGTGTAAATATGGAGAAGTTCTTGTAGAGAATAGTCCCTTATTGCTGAATTGTTCCTTATTGCTTGGACCTAAGTTTACCTCTAAGCCGTCCCATTTTATTTGCCTATGGGGTAAAAATACCAGGTGGCAAATTTAAATAAAAACAGCAAAAAACTAATTTTTACAAAAATAAATTATCAGGCAGTTTTACTGAATATAGTCACATTATTGTTTGTTTGATATGTGTTATTTTATGTAAAATTATTGGTTTTTGTAGAGAATAGAGCCACTTGCTTTAGAGCTTATTATAAGGGAATGCAGATGTTCCATATGCTTTATTTCAGAAAATATATTTGGCTTTTTATCAGCAAAATTATATAAAAACTTGATCTAAAAAATTATGATCAGATTTTTTGTTAGAAGCTATTAGAAGAATTGTCGGAAAAGAGAAAACTTACGGCAAACAGTCTCTTAAGTGCAAATGCAGTATTAAATATGATTATAATTATAAGTTTTGTTTTCAATATAATGTTGGACTAGAAATATATAAAAATCCCTATGTTTACGATAAAGACACTGTAATGTTGTTTCATCCTTATATACATGCATTGAGAAATTTGGCCGATATATTGATACTTTATCTGTATATATAAATATTTATAATTATAATTTCTTCATAGTTTAAAATTTTTTATTGCTAAATAATTAATTCAACAGAAACAATATGCAATATTCAATAATATTAATTATGTTCTTTCATATCTTATGAATAAGTAAATAAATGAACATTGACACCATTTCATATAAAGAATATGTAATTAAACAAATAAATAACAGATATAAATGAATATTATTTAGGTCACATGTAGTGATTCATATAAGTATGTTAATTATAAAACATAAATTAATTGCTACAATTTTCAAATCAATATTTTATACGCTCTTGTTAATAATAATAATTTTATGTAACTGAAGTAATGTTTTTCTTTATTGGCTAAATTGCATAACGAACAGAAATGAAAATTTATGACGGTCGTTATAGTAAATTGATAACTATCGCAATAATTTATTTCCATAATTCATGTATATCGTCGTGTGGTATCAAAATTTAAAAATTTTAATAGTTCATGCATTATCGCTGAATCTTTTATATCCAACGCCAAGAATTCAACGTAGCGCCACGGTCATTATCTTGATCGAAGTACGGTATATGCAAAAATTTTTAGATTTGCATGATAACTTTAAAAAATATATAAAAATATCTTTTATTATAAATACAGGTTTATGCAGGCAATGAAGGTAATTTGCTTTTAATGTCAGGTCATGCATAACACTACCGACGCAACCCACATTGCACGCCGTGACGTCAAAATATGATCTAGATTCTTAAACATACAACAAACTGGCATCGGCGCTAACATTCCGTGTCATTAAGCGCATTTCATAATTAGGATTTAATTATACACAACTTTAATAAGTAATGGAATTTGCATTACGACATCGCGTAATTTAAAGCTTTTTAAAGGTTAAGTACTTTAGTTTAATTTTAAATCATAATGGTTGTAATAAAATAATTTTATGAACCCATTGAAACTTCTTCATGACCTTAGGTATCTGCATGGGTATATAATATTTGATTTTATAAAATAATTTTTGCAGTAGAATGATTTTTTAAACATATTAAAGTATCTGCACATATGTATTTGTGTTACATAATTATAAAATTTATTAACCTTCGTTAACTCAGGTTGTTGGGTTATAATTTAACCCTTGTAGCTGTGGACTGTATTAAACACTGATTTTTTATATATTGTGTATTTGTTGCAATTCTAATTACAATCACTGATTTGTTACTAAGTTATAATGAAAAAAGAAGATATATTTATTGGTTATTTATTATACATGTTGTTTTACGGATTTTAGGTTACGTTTTACTCACTTTTAGAAGTGAACAATTATTCCCGTCAAACTCTCCGCTACCCCCTCTACCAGGGGTAGCAACCATCTTATGTAAAAGCTCAATGCCATGAAGATTGTCCCCTTCATGGCCAATATAATAAAATGAAAATACGCCCGAACAACATACGTTATAAAATGTAATTTATATATTCAGCACCAGTACGATTTCGATTTCGATTTCGATTTTTCTAAAAACTTTATATTTATCCTGTTAGCTAAGTATCCTGCGCTAGTACATTTAAAAATTTTTTAAAAGCTCTAACTTCATGTTGATAGCTACTTTAAAATTAAGTTATTAAGCTGGAAAATAGCGTACGTGTGTTTGTGATTGATTGTTGAGTTGTATTAGGTTCATCTTCGAGTGAAATATCCCCTTCAGCAACGCATTATTGATGAAGGCTTTAATATTGATAAAGGCTTATAAGCATATGAGTATTTTTGACTCTCAAAATTCAGTAATTGTACAGTAAAAACCAAACAACATACATCACAGCACATAACCCACACCATAAGACAAACGTTCAAAATATGTTAAAAAATCTTCCCAGTTTTTGCCCAAATACTGAAATATGTTTATATGCTATTTTTTGCTAAAATTTTTTATCTGTCCGTTTTTGGGGCGATAAGAGCTGCATTATTTAACAAATGCTAAATATACGTAGACATATTTTTACAAAGATTATACATTATAATTTTTTTTTTAATTATGCTGTTTCATAAGCTCAAAAATCGAGACTGTCCAAAATCGAGAAAAGAAATGTTGTAATTACTATAATAATTCTTACAAAATAAAATTTTGTGGTTAGAGAGTAGAAACTTAAGGTTTTGTATTTCCATATACGCATTATAGAAAATAAAGTAAATAAAAATTGATTGAAAAAATAAAAAAAAGTTTTAAGAGTGGCCAACCCTTACCATTTGGGTTTAATGAGAATATGTGAAAATCTGCGTTTGGGTATACCTAACATTTTCCCAAATTTTTATGCCAATTGGTTTATAAATGCATAGGGCACACATATATATATATATATATATATATATATATATATATATATATACAAGCAGAAATACATCCGATTTACTACTGCTTACAATGACACATTCTTCAATTGAGAAAAGAAGGTTTTAAATAATATAACTCAAAGAATTTCACCTCGAGTATCACGCATGTTTTCCAAAAGCCTGAGAGCTTTATTATTAATAGTTTTTGTAATTACGATAGAATACAAAAATATAAATAATTTATGTATATATAATCTCAGAATGTAAGATTTAAATATTATAAGATTTTCATTCTAAGCATGCTTTAAATGTCTATGCAGCATTTCATTAATATTTTATGTATTTATGATTTATACAATTTAAGAACAGAAATGCACTCTACATATTATATAAATTTGAATTAGTTATTGATATAAATAAATGATCAAATGGCCAATTATAATTTAAATATATATATCCAAATTAAATATATCGGCAGAACCGTCCCATATATTACTATCCCATAATTTTTAATATTATATTTTAATATAATTATATAAAAAAAAATCATAAATGTTGGT